GGATTTCCATAAGCATAAACTAAATTTTCACTCTTCTAAATGTGTATTTGTTAGATATAGTCTTGTCCATAAAGGCTATATATGTCTTACTACTGAAAATAGAATTACCATTACACCTAGTGTCTAATTCAATGAAACACAATTTCCCTTTGGCACTGGTTTTCCCTCTCCTGCACCTACACATCAATCCTTTCCTGATACCAATAACATCTCCACCATAGGCAGTCCATTTGTTTCTGTGCCTTGTACAACTGATACAAACAACAAAGTCTCTTTAGCAAAACTCTACTCTTCTCCTTCCTCTTCTACAGCAATTGGTAACCAAGTTTCACCATCTATTACTCCTCTTTCTCCTTAGTTAAATTTTGTACCAAATTTCTCTGTTTCTAACTCAAAATTGCAGGATAACTCTTCCATGTCATACTCATCATCCAGGTCTTTTCCAATCAGTTCAATTCTGCCTCCTCACACTCATACTACCCAAAATCATTTGTATGTTTCACAGTGTCCAAAAATTCCTCTTACTGTGGATCTGGCCTGCTTTCCACCTTCTGATTTAGTATCTAAACCTACCACAGTAACAACACAATCTTTTTTGTCTAAAAAGTCTCCTGACTGTCAGCTGGTAGTTGATCTCTCTTCATCTCAGCCTCCTAAGTCAATGCCTTCCAAGATTTCTTCTAATCTGCCCTCAGAAGCTGAAATATCTGCTTCTATTACTCCTACATTATCCCCTCACCCAATAACCAATTTCCATCCTATGCCTACCCGAGCAAAATCTGCCCAACAAACCAGTACTGCTTTAGTAACCAAGCTCCTTATTGCCCAACCTAAACCTTCATCTATCAATGAAGCTCTTGCTTGTAGAAAGTAGAGGAAGGCTATGCAAGAGGAGTTTAATGCCCTCTTAAAAAATGAGATATGGATTCTTGTTCCTAGAACCTCTAAAATGAATGTTGTGGGCAATAAATGGGTTTTTCATACCAAGTTTCATGCTAATGGTTCCTTGCAAAAATATAAAGCTAGATTGGTGGCAAAAGGATTCCAGCAAACTCCTGGTTCAGACTACTTTGAAACCTTTAGCCCAGTTATCAAACCCTCCACAATTATGATCATTTTTACCCTTGCTATCTCAAATGGTTGGGATATACAACAGGTTGATGTTAATAATGCTTTCCTTAATGGAATTTTGAGTGAAATAGTTTACATGAGTCAGCCTACTAGTTTGAGCATCCTGCGTTTTCTTCTTATGTATGCAAACTTAATAAGGCTTTGTATGGCCTCAAACAAGCCCCAAGAGCTTGGTTTGACAAGCTCAAGCAAGCTCTACTAAATAAAGGATTTCATAATTCAGTATCAGACTCTAGCCTCTTTATTTTCAAGGATTAAGTTCAAGTTCTCTACATTCTCATCTATGTAGATGACATCCTCATCACTGGTTTAGAGCATTCCTCCATTCTGAAAATAGTGACAGATTTAAACAATGAATTCTCATTAAAAACACTTGGCTCTGTTGATTATTTCCTTGGGATAGAAACTAATAGAAATGATGAGGGTATTCATCTCAAGCAAACCAAATACATTGGTGATCTACTAATCAAAACCAAAATGCAAGATGCTCATCCTTGTCCAACTCCCAAGGCTACTGGGACAAAGCTTTTCTCTTCTGACAGTGAATTATTCAAAGATCCCACTTTATATAGAAGTGCCATTGGAGCCTTCCAATATTTGACATTGACTAGACCTGACATAAGCTTCACAGTTAACAAGCTTAGTCAATTTCTCCAAGCACCCACTGAAATTCAGTGGCAAGCCTGCAAAAGAGTGTTAAGGTACATAAAAGGAACTCAGTTCCATGGTTTACAGTGCAAACCTGTAGCTACTCTTTGTGTTGAGTGCTACACGAATGCTGATTGGGGAAGTAATCTTGATGATAGAAGGTCTACTAGTAGGTATTGTATCTACTTAGGACCTAACCAAGTTCAATGGAGTTCTGCCAAGCAAAAGGTTGTTGCTTTGTCATCAACAGAGGCTGAATACAAAGCTCTTATGCAAACAGCAACTAAACTAGCTTGGTTAGACAGCTTATTCTCTGAATTAGGTGTTTAGGTGACTGCAACTCATGTAATTTGGTATGATAATCTTAGTGCAGGAGCTTTGGCAGCCAATCCTATTTTTCATGCTCAAATGAAGCATATAGAAATTGACACACATTACATAAGGGATCAAGTTCTAGCCAAGAAAGTGATAATGCAATATGTCACTTCCAAATTGTAGATTGTTGATTTTCTGACAAAGTCATTATCAGTAACTCAATTTTAGGAGCTAAAACAAAAACTCAATGTTGTTGAAGTGAGTATTTCTGCTGAAAAAAATGTTAAGTAGTTGACTGGGCTGATGTGCTACTGAAATAGCCTCTGTTTGAGCCTTTTTGGGGGTGTAGCAGGAATAAAAATAAAGTTGTTTAGAATCCAGAATTTAAGTTGACAATTTGTTAATTTGGGGGTGTCAAAGCATAAATGAAGAGTTGTGAAAAATGCAGTTTTTAGAGTTGTGAAAAATGCAGTTTTTTAGCTTGTGAAAAATGCAGTTTCAGTAGCTTGTGATAATGCAGTTTCAGCTTATGTTTGGGTGAATATTGCAGTTTGTGAAGCAGCAGTTTGTGGAGTGTTGTCAAAAAAAAAAAATGCAGTTTTAAGCTTGTGGAGTTGTGCAGTTTGTGAAGAGTTGTGAAAAATGCAGTTTTTTTTTAGCTTGTGAAAAATGCAGTTTTTTTTTAGCTTGTGAAAAATGCTGTTTCAGTAGCTTGTGATAATGCAGTTTCAGGCTATGTTTGTGTGAATACTACAATTTGTGAAGTATTGAGAATACATGATATGCAGGTTGAAAGTGTTTTGTTTTGTGCAGTGTGAGAAGTGTTTTGTTTTGTGTTGAATATTGCAGTTTGCAAAGTGTCGAGAAAATAGGATATGCAGTTTGTGGTTGTTTAGTCTGTTGAAAACAGACTCTGCAGTTCCCGCTTGAGCTAATGCAGTTTATGACAGTTTGTAAATAGCTTATGGCAATTATGCAGTTGGAGGTGTATGCAGTTTTAGTTTGAAGAATATTGCAGTTTGTGAGGTGTTGAGAAAACAGGATATGCAGTTTGTGGTTATTTAGTCTGTTGAAAACAAACTCTGCAGTTCTAGCTTGAGCTAATGCTGCTTATGACAGCTTGTAAATAGCTTATGGCAATTATGTAGTTGGTGTGATTCTAAGTTTACATATTTATGGAGATCTGTTGGAACTAATTGTGTAGAGAATGGAGATTAGTTTGAAGCAAAAAGTTGTTGCTGAATGAAGATCTGTTGGAACTTATTGTGCAGAAAATGGAGATTAGACTATAGCAATTGAGCAACTGTTTCTTTAGCAATTTTCTTTAGCAATCAATTTCAGCATTGAAGCTGTAACAAGCCGTGAAAGAAGTGCCTCTGGTCTTGAAGAGAAATGATGACTAGCAAGGAAAGGAAAAGTTGGTACCCCAGTCTCAATTGAGGGGAGATGTTAACCAAAGAGTAAGAAAGGGCAAAGTTGTAAATTAGCTTTAAATTCCTCTTTCACTAAAACGGTGTAGTATTAACTCTCTTCTCTTTCATATAAAAGCGAGTTGTTCTTCATTGTAAAAGTTCAGTTTGAAACTCATAACTGTTTTTACTAAAACAATGTTTACAATAATTTTACTCACTCTCTAAATCTCAACTGAAAACTGGCCAACTCCATGCTACACATGAAATACATTTATATATTTAGATCTCATTAATTAGGTACCTGTTACATACTTCCTATGTTAAGGGATAGTTTAAGATTGTAGCAGGTTTAAGTTTAATCAATTTTGACTCAATTTTAGAAATAACTAGCTTTGAAAATAATTTGAGAAGGTGTTTATTGTTGTGATTTTCAAAATCTATGATTACATGTTTGGTAAATTAGATTTTAAAATTGTTGGTATATGTATAATGACCAAGAAAGACATTTTATGTCTTAAAATATTTTTATAATTAGAAATTTGTATTTTGTTAAGTATTTAATCAACATTTTAAAAATGTATTTATAAATTTATGTTAAATAAATTATTAAATAACTAATAATTCAAAAAATGGATATTGTCAGCAATGGTCAACCGTCGGTCAATAGTGCGATCAACACCAATCAACGTAGAGCATTGAAGTCACAATCAATTCAATCAGGATCGTCAAATGCTGATCTATTGCAGTCCAGTGATTCCAACAAATCTCAACGCTTCATTTTGCTGTAGAATGCAGCAAAACACATGGCCGCCTTTTATGGCTAAACGACACGTTGGAATCTTGTGATTCCATTGGATTTCTTCAAATTGATTAACGCCAATCCTGATAGGACAAGCTATAAGAACCAATGCGCATTGCTGGAATAATTCTTATGGTTCAACAATAGGCACTCTAAATTTTTAGTAGCAGTACTACACTTAAATTTTTTTTCATACCATCCTAATATATCAATTCGTGATTGGTCAACTTGTCATATATTTTACTTATTTAAATGCGAGTTGACCAATTACGAATGAATAATACTTTACGTACTAACAAATTTTATTAACCAATATATTAAACTTTGTTAAAATCACACATAGTACTTGTATTATGCTTTAAGTTAGTACACTAATTTATAAAATTCGTTAGTACGTATAGTATTATCCATTACGAATTATCACATTATTATTATATAAAAGAATTGTATGAAGAAGTTGTAAGTGTATTTTTATTGCTAAATTTTTGCATCAAGTGGTTGAAAAACAAAAATAAAATAAACACTGTTTAGGTTTCGCGAAGTAGTAAAAATTTGCAGGTGCTTTTATCTTGCTATAAAGATACACCTCTATTTTTCCTAAATATTCACTCAGTATCTCTGTCCTTTCCTTGCGTTGTCAAAGTTAAGGATAAATATTTGTGTGGTAACAGTTCCTCCTCTTCAAGCAGTATTTGTTAAATTGTCTTCACAACTAGAAGTGACCAAAACAATCTCACCATCATGTCTTGGACATGGACTTCGCTTGCACTTGTAGCTCTTGTCTTCTTCCTCCAAGCGTTTCCCTGGAAAAAAGACTCAAAAACTAAGAGACTACCTCCAGGTCCGAGAGGGTTCCCAATTTTTGGAAGCCTTCATTTGTTGGGAAAGTTTCCTCACAAAGATTTTCATAAACTTGCCAAAAAATATGGCTCCATCATGTTCTTACGTTTAGGCTCGATTCCTACTATTGTTGTTTCATCACCTCACGCTGCTGAGCAGTTCCTGAAAACTCAAGACCTTGTTTTTGCCAGCAGGCCTCCTGTTGAAGCTGCAAAACACATAGGTTATAGGCAAAAGAACTTGTCCTTTTCGCCTTATGGATCTTATTGGCGAGCCATGCGCAAGATTTGCACCCTGGAACTTCTTAGCAGTGCTAAGATTAGTTCTTTCAGGGCCATGAGAAAAGAAGAGCTGTATCTCTGATTGAGCACATAAAAGAGGTTGCTGCTGCCGGTGTTGCGGTTGATCTAAGTGAAAATGTCTCATCTCACAGTTCAGTTCTGACTTGTAGAATGGTGTTTGGGAAGAAATATGCGGTGTCGAGCTTGATGAGAGAGGATTCAACACTCTAATTCACGAGGTACAAAATTGGCGGCCATTCCTAACTTGGGTGATTACATTCCTCAAATTGCTTCACTTGATCTGCAGGGGCTGACCAAGCGAATGAACGGTTTCCAAGGTGTTTGGACTTCTTGGAAAGGGTTATTATGAGCATGTTTGTTCCAAGGATGAAATAGAACAAAGGACTTTGTTGATGTCATGTTGAGCTTCTTGGAATCAGAAGAACCGAATACAAGATTGAGCGAGAGCACGTCTAGGCCACGCTCTTGGTAAGCAATCCGAGAATTGTTAGAATTTAAACAGTTGGTAAACCTTTGACAGGTTCAAGACTTATCTTCAAAGCCTACGTGTGTTCATGGGTTACTGCTGAGTGGGAGTGGAAGTAGTCTTCGGTTGTTCCTATTTTGTAGCATTAAATCAGCGTCCACTTTCTCCTTTATCTTATCCACGATCAGGTGGTTGCTAATCATGTTGTAATATTGCTATAAATCTGAATGAAATCTCAGCAAACCAGGTTGGTGAAGTTATCCATAAAAGCCTTTGTATTTTGTTTTGGTATCAGAGCATATCTTGGCCAACGCCATCAACAATAACAAAACCAAACGCTGACCCATCACCCTCATGGCTACTCCCCCAAACACTCCAGGAAGCAGTAGATCACCAGGTGCCAGTGAACCATCTTCCTTATCCAATTTGCAACTTTCAAACAAAATCACACTTACTCCCTACAGTTCCATCAAACTTGACCACACCAACTATCTCCTATGGGAAACACTGGTCCTACCTGTTATTAGAGGCCACAAATCAGCTGGCTATATCTTTGGCACAAAGCCTTGCCCTCCTGAATATCTGCCAAGAACCACACCAGGCAGTACAATGAAAATACCCAATCCAGATTATGAAGACTGGATTTCAAATGATCAGTTGCTCTTAGGATGGTTGTACAGCACCATGAATCCAGACATAGCTTCTCAGCTAATGCAAAAATCAACTTCTAAGGAGCTATGGGATGTCGCGAAGGAGCTCTTAGGAGCACACACCAAGTCAAGAGTCATTTAGTATAAAGGTGAATTGCAAAAAACCAGGAAAGGGGAAATGAAGATGGAGGAATATTTGACCACCATGAAAGCTTTTTCAGACAACCTTACCTTAGCAGGTAGCCTAATATCCTTGTCTGATTTAATCACCCAAATTTTGAGTGGTCTTGATGCAGAGTTCACCCCGATAGTCGTTCAACTCAGTGACAAAGAGTCACTATCCTGGATTGAGTTGCAGACTACTTTACTAACCTTTGAAAGCAGGTTAGAACAACTCAATACCTATCAAAGTGGTGACATCAATTTGACCCAAGCTACAACCCATATTACAATAAATAGACCTGAAAACATGTCGTCCAACTTCAGTTATGGGAGAGGGCAGAGTCGACCACCAAACAACAACAATAGTAAAGGCTCCAGAGGCAGATTTCGTGGAAGAGGAGGAAGAAGTAATGGAAGTAAACCAACATGTCAAATTTGCAACAAAATAGGGCAACACTGCCTCAATTTGTTGGAACCGATTTGATCAGAATTTCATGGGCAACACATCAACTCAGTTTGACCAGCACAAAAACCAATCAGCAAATGCTTTTATTGCCTCACCTGAAACACTTGAAGATCCCTCATGGTATGCAGATACTGGAGTGAGCCATCATGTCACCCATGATTTGGGAAATCTGCATTAGAAACAAGATTATAGTGGTAAGAATTTTCTTGTAATAGGCAATGGAAGCAAGCTTGATATTAGTCACATCGGTAACTTAAAATTACCCACTCAACAGAAAGATTTATTACTTAATAATGTGTTATGTGTGCCTAATATCACAAAGAATTTGCTAAGTATATCACAGTTGGTAGCTGATAATAAGGTAAATGTTGAGTTTAATTCTTTTGGTTGTTTTGTGAAGGACAAGCTAACAGGACTAGTGATGCTACAAGGGAAACTTGAAGATGGTATGTACAAGCTTGAAGTTGTTTCCACTTCAAATCAAAATCAGTCCAACATCACAAAATCAAAACCTTCACAATCAAAGCCTTCACATTCCCAAGCCATTTCTCTTTCTGCTAATTTGTCAAGTCCATAGTCATGTGTTAGTCCTTTTTGTTTCTCAAAAGAGGATGAATGGCATAGGAAACTAGGCCATCCATCTAAAAGAGTGTTATTTCAAGTTTTAAAATAAAGCAATGTCAATTTCAAATCAAATGAAATAAATTTTTGTGATGCTTGTCAATTTGGAAAATCACATGCTTTGCCCTTTAACAATTCTGATTCGCATGCAAAATACGTATTGGAATTAATTCACACTGATCTTTGGGGACCTGCACCATTACTTTCATCCTCTAGATATCGTTTTTATATACATTTCATTGATGATTTTAGTCGTTTCACTTGGATATATCCTCTCAAACTCAAAAGTGACGCTGTTCAGGCTTTTAGTCATTTCAAAAATCTTGTTGAAAATCAATTTGGAACTAAAATAAAACAACTCTACTCTGATTGTGGAACCGAGTATCTACCCTTTTCTCAAATAGTTCAACAGTCAGGAATCATTTTCAAACACACTTGTCCATATACCTCAGTTCAAAATGGTAGAGCAGAAAGGAAACACAGGCATATTGTTGAAATGGGGTTAACTCTCTTAGCACAGGCTAAAATGCCACTAAAATTCTGGTGGGAAGCTTTTGAGAGTGCTGTTTTCTTGATAAATAGATTGCCAACTCCCATTCTTCAAAACATCTCACCAATGCAAAAATTATTTAACAAAGTTCCAGATTATTCCTTTCTAAAGATTTTTTGAAGTAGTTGTTTCCCATGTCTTAGACCATATCAAACTCATAAATTCCAATTTCATTCAACAAAGTGTGTGTTTCTTGGTTACAGTGAATTCTTCAAGGGATATAGATGTCTTAGTTCCACTGGGAAAACATATCTTTCTAGACATGTAGTATTCAATGAAAAATATTTTCCTTTCCATTTTGGGTTCCTAAATACCAAAACAACAATAAATCATGTCATTATTCCTTCACCATTGTCATGGCACTCACCATCAAGTTCTTGTATTCATACAATAGATTTTGCTCGTACAAGCCAACATCAAACTTCCTCAATAGCATCATCAAATTCCCGAGGCTCAACTTCTATCTCACCAAGAGATTTATCTCAAGATTTTGCCACTACAATTCCCTTAAATGCAGAATCTGTGCAACCCTCAACTCAAACAGAAATAGATGAGTCACAAGTTGAACCTGAAATAGAAATCGGTGCCACAAATGAGAGGCAAAGAGGTGTCAACACTCAACAGAACAGCCACTCTATGATGACTCGAGGGAAGAGTGGAATATTCAAGCGAAAATCCCCTTCCATAGGTATTGTCGAGACCAGTGAAAGTCTGAATTCTATGGAACCTATGACTGTCTCAGCAGCTCTCAACAATAGTAATTGGAAGAAGGCCATGCAAACTGAATATAATGCTCTAATATAAAATCAGACATGGCATCTAGTTCCATCATCTATAGCTCAATCCTTGGTTGGCAACAAATGGGTTTTCAAGCTAAAATACAACCCTGATGGGACTATAGAACGTTACAAAGCGAGGTTAGTTGCAAAGGGATTCCATCAAACCCCTGGTATTGACTTCTTNTCATAAATTCCAATTTCATTCAACAAAGTGTGTGTTTCTTGGTTATAGTGAATTCTTCAAGGGATATAGATGTCTTAGTTCCACTGGGAAAATATATCTTTCTAGACATGTAGTATTCAATGAAAAAGATTTTCCTTTCCATTTTGGGTTCCTAAATACCAAAACAACAATAAATCCTGTCATTATTCCCTCACCATTGTCATGGCACTCACCATCAAGTTCTTGTATTCATACAACAGATTCTGCTCGTACAGGCCAACATCAAACTTCCTCAATAGCATCATCAAATTCCCAAAGCTCAACTTATATCTCACCAAGAGATTTATCTCAAGATTTTGCCACTACAGTTCCCTTAAATGCAGAATCTGTGCAACCCTCAACTCAAGCAGAAATAGATGAGTCACAAGTTGAACCTGAAATAGAAATCGGTGCCACAACTAAGAGGCAAAAAGGTGTCAACACTCAACAGAACAACCACTCTATGATGACTCGAGGGAAGAGTGGAATATTCAAGCGAAAATACCCTTACATAGGTATTGTCGAGACCAGTGAAAGTCTGAATTCTATGGAACCTATGACTGTCTCAGCAGCTCTCAGCAATAGTAATTGGAAGAAGGCCATGCAAACTGAATATAATGCTCTAATGCAAAATCAGACATGGCATCTAGTTCCATCATCTACAGCTCAATCCTTGGTTGGTAGCAAATGGGTTTTCAAGCTAAAATACAACCCTGATGGGACTATAGAACGTTACAAAGCGAGGTTAGTTGCCAAGGGATTCCATCAAACCCCTGGTATTGACTTCTTTGAGACATTTAGCCCTGTCATTAAACCTTCTACAGTCCGAATTGTGCTCACTCTAGCTGTCTCCAAAGGATGGGAGGTAAGAAAACTAGACATAAATAATGCATTTCTTAATGGATTACTTGCTGAAGATGTCTATATGGTGCAACCGGAGGGTTTTGTTGATCCTAAGAAACCAGATTTTGTTTGTAAACTTGACAAGGCTATCTATGGGCTTAAACAAGCTCCGCGCGCTTGGTTTGAAAGGTTGAGGAACACTTTAATTGATTAGGGGTTCTGTAATTCCAAATGTGACACCTCTCTATTCTTCTTCAAATCTACAACCAAAGTCTTGTTTATTCTCATCTATGTTGATGACATATTGATAAAAGGCAATGACAACAACCTTGTGCAAACTTTCATTTACAAGTTAAATAAGGTTTTTGCTCTCAAAGACATGGGGTCCCTACATTATTTTCTCGGAATTGAAGTTTGCAGGTATGAAACTGGGATGTATCTTACACA